TCAGCAGGTGTTGGCTGGGCAGAAACCTCTTCCTTCTCAGACAAATTTCCACTTCCTCATATGTAGAATGGGACCAGCCCCATCATTCAGTGTAACAGGGGACATCCTGGCCCCTGGGCAAGCTTTTTCTGTAAAAGGAGGCTGGTCTGCTGCCCCCTCCCACCTTGGCTGGGGCTTGGGGCACTCCCCTCCCTCTGTCCTGGGGATGTTTTACCACTTGCGGAGACTGCAAATTGCTAACATTGAGCCTGTGAGGTGAGGAATAAATTCTGTTTTGTCGAAGCCACTCTTGTTCTGAATCTCTGTTACAGCAAACCAGCCTTATATTCTAATTTTTACATGAGCCAGATGGAAGTTCCTTGTTGTTTAAGCCAACTTGAGTGGCATTTCCTTTCACTGGTAGTGGAAAGCCCCTGAAAAGGGAAAGCAGAGCCTTGTCCTTTTGGGCATGTAATAATTTCCTACGATTACTATACCAACTTACCACAAATTTAGTGGCTTAAAACAAGAGTAATTAATTCTTTTATAATTCTGGAGACCGGAAGTTCAAATTGTTTCATGTGGTTTGAACCAAGGTGTCAGCAGGGCCACCTTCCCTCAGAGGATCTTGTGGGAGAATCTGTTTTCTTGCCTTTTCTAGAGCTGCCTTCCTTGGCTCATAGCCTCTTCCTGTGTCTTCAAGGGAGATCTGAGACTCAGAGACACACAGAGAGAAGGCCATGTGAAGACAGAGGCAGAGATTGGGGTCATACAGCTACAAGCCAAGGAATGCCAGGAACCCCCAGAAGCTAGAAGTAGAAGGAAGGATTCTCTTCATATCCTTCAGAGGGGACACGGCCCTGCTGACACATTGATTTCGGACTTCTTTTTTGTTTCAAGATAAATGATATATTAATGCAACATTTAAGAAAATTAAAAGAAATGAAAAAAATCTATGATGAACAAAATATCGAAAGTTTAAATCAAGACAGGCTGTTGTTTGCTTTTCTTCCAGTTTTATTGAGGTAAAATGGACAATCAAAAATAATGTGTTTTTAAGATGTATAATCCGATGACCCAATATACATGTATATTGTGAAATATTCACAACAACCAAGCCAACCAACATAACTATCACTCCATACAGTTATCATTTTCCTTTTTTTCTCTTTTGTGGTGGGAACACCCAAGATCTGCCCTTATAGCAAACTTCAAATACACAGTACAATACTGTCAATTCGTCACAATGCTTAATGAGTTCTCCAGAACTTATTCATCTTGCATAACTTGTACCCCTTGACCAACATCTCCCATTTCCCCCTTCCTCCGGCCCCTGGCAACCATCTCTCTGCGTCTACACTCTGCTTTTATAAGTTTGAGTATATGGAGGGCAAGGGTGGAAGCAGGTAGACCAAGGTAGAAGTTATTACTGTAATCCAGGTGAAAGGTGGTGACTCAGACTGGGGAGTGAGAAGAGCTCAGATGCTGGATATATTGTGAAGGTAAAGCCAACCAGTATTATTAATAGATTGGCCATAAGATAGGAAGACTCATAGGGCTGGAAGTGATTCCGATGTCCTGGGGGCTAGAATCATCTGGTGGTGTCTTCACTCATATGTCTGGCACTTGGGCTGAGCTGGGACTATTGGGTGGAGCACCTCCTTGTGACCTCCATGTGGCTTGAGATTTCTCACGACGTGGCAGCTGGGAGCATGGGTTCTGTCAGAGCCAGGTGGAAGCTGCATGGCAGATGTCACTTCTACCACATTTTATTGGTTATAAGAGACTCATTAAGGTCAGCTCAGATTCAGTGGGAGGAGAATTAAACTCTACACCTTAATTGAGTAGCAAGGCCATATTGCATAAGACCATGTGGGACATGAGATATGCTTACAGCCATCTTTTGAAAATTCAATTTGCCATAGCCATGAATGAGAGAGAAGGGAGGAGCCATAGATGATTCTAAGGCTGTTGGCGGTTCTTTTGAGAAACACAGGCAGGCTGCCCTCCTGGGCAGGGTTCTCCAAATGGCTTCAGTTTGGTTATTCCACCTTCACTTAGCTCACAGGAAACTCCCACATCCTTGCTGTACCAAAAGATGCAAACCACTCTTACTGCAGCCTTTTTTTCCATGTCCATCCTTTCACGTCATGCTGTTTTGGGTGTGAGTCAAAACCTCATCTTTTGGCTTCCCCGTGGGGTGGGCAGACCTCTCCCTCTCTCTTTAACTTTCACTTTTTAAATGCCCTCCAGGCAATGTCAAGCTAAGTGTGAAAAACCATCTTTGCAAGTTCTGTATATATGACTGTGGTAGCCTTCGAGATGGCCCCAATAATCCCTACATCTTGGTTACTTCCTTTGCAAGTTCTGTATATATGACTGTGGTAGATGGAGTCTTCGAGATGGCCCCAATAATCCCTACATCTTGGTTTTTGCTCACTTGTGTAGTCTCCATCCACGATGACTCAGAGCTGATCCATATGACAAATATAGTGTAATAGAGATCATACTTTGAGACTTGTGAGGATAGACCATAAAAGGCACTGTGGCTTCCACCTTGGCCTCCACTTTGTGTTGAGGAAACTCAATCAGCCCTTTGGAGAGGCTCTCATAGTAAAGAACAGTGGCCTTCCACCAAGAGTACAGCCCCAGTTCAGCCTTCAGATGACTGCAGCCCTGGCCAACATCCTGACTGCAAACATATAAGAGACTTTGAACCAGACCCACCCAGCTAAGCTGCTCTTACATTCCTGAACCACAGAAGCTATGAGATAATAAGTGCTTTTTGTTGTTTTAGATCGCTAAGCTTTGGGGTAATTTGTTGTATAGCCATAGCTAACTGATCCAGTGTCCTAGCACTTCACTGTGGAATGTGGGAGTACTTAAAACCTGTCACTTTAACATCTTGATACAAATGTGACCACCTCCAGGAGGCCATCCCAGATCATCTCTCTATATTAGCCCTTATCCTATCCCATTGCCCTGTTTTATTTTTTAAAAATAACACTTAGTTACTGTTGGAAGTTAAAAAATCTGTAGTATTTATTTCTACATTTCCTTACTGATTTATTGTCTCTCCTGTCTTGATGGAAAGTTCCATGCAGGAAGGATCTTATCCATCTTCTTCACCCAGGGCTTGGCACTCTATAGGAACTCAAATGCAGGGGCTGTTGTTACTGTTACTTCTATGCATAAATCAAAACTGGGGATAAAGATGTGTGTGTGTGTGTGTGTGTGTGTGTGTGTGTGTGTGTGTGGTCTGGGGGGGGGTTCCCCTTAAGATGGATTTGCATGTATGACTTTTAAAGAAAAAGGGAACTGAGAGGAGCCCCAGAAATTTGAGCAGGAAGGACAGTGGGCAGAAGCTTCAAGCTCTGTATGCACCTTCTCAGGCTCTTGTGTCTGCTGCAGCCATGCACACCCTGTTTACTGACTCTGCGTGGCAGGACCTGCCAGGTATGGCCCTGGCCGAGCTTGGGCTGGGGACCAGGGGTGATCAGGACCCAGGTTACAGTATTCCCACCCTGGGGCTGGAAACTGGGGCCTGAGGGACAGGGGAGGAAATGGGATGGACACTCACTTGCCTTTCCTCTGGAAGGGACCAGAGAGGAGAGGGATGATGATGATGATTACGAGAACATGGCACCATCCTACAAGGACCTTCCTCCCAAGCCAGGTAAGAGGACTTCTCAGAGGCCGGATAAAGAGATGTGTGGCTTGTGGGTTGGAGGGAGAATTAGGTCCTCAGGGGACATTAGCTGGGCTTTGTAGACACACGGTCAGCTTTGTGTGTACCCAGCTTGTGCCAGGCACCACGATGGTGGGAGTAGCCATGCCTTTGCCCTGCCCTTGAAGGTCTCTCAGTCTTCTGGGAAGTCCATTCTGGGCATGACCTCAGGTGAGCAGAACTGAGATGGAATAAACCAAGAGATTGGGGAAATCTTGAGGGAAATTGGTGAGAGGATTGGGGGTCAGAGGAGGAGACATTGGAGAAGAACATGAGGAATGAGTAGAAGTTTGTTAGGAAGAGAAGCCCAGAAGAGCACTGGTCAGTGCAAAGGCCCCAAGACATGAAAGCCAGTGTTTGTGAAACTGAGAGTGGATTATTGGCTCCCCACACCAACCTCTTATCATTCACACCCAAGGCTTGGATTTGTCTTTAGACTGAGAAGTAGGTATAAAAGTGGAGGTTTAGAAGTTTCCCTGATTTGGCTTGCCCTGAGGGCTGCCCGCACTGCCCTGGTGTCCTTCGACAGGGGCCATTCCATGTGGTGGGGGCTCCATAGCTCCCACTTCTGAGTCCAGACTGGGGCCAACTGGGAGGTTGCAGGGCTTTGTAGGGCTCAGGATGAGGTTGGAGGTGAACAAGGTTCTGCCATTTGATTGCCTGTCTCCAACTCCAATATGGTCCCAACATGATCCTCAAAGCCAGTTCCAAGGCCAAGCCCATCAGCATCTTTAGGGACACCACTTCCCTAAACTTGGCCCCCTCCCCATCTCTAAATGCAGCTATATCTCTATCCCCAGCTCCATTTCCAAATGCAATGCCATCATCATGCTCCAACACAATTCCAACCCAACCTCAACTTCTTCCCCTTTTCCAAACTCAAGTCCAACCCAGCTCAACTCCTCTATCCCCCGACACAGCTATAATCCCATTCTTCATCCCAACCACATCATGTATTACAGCCCTATTTACATATCCATTACTATTCTCAACCCATTTTCAACCCCATCCTCATCTCAATCCAAACCTTCATCCCAACCCTAACCTTGACTCCATCCCCATCCCTAAACTTGACTTTGTCTCTAACTTAGGGAGACCAACTGTCCCAGAGATGAAAGATTTCTTGGGATGTGGGAATTTCAGTTTTAAAATTGGGAAAGTCTTGGGTAATCCAGGATGATTGGTCATTGTATCTTATCCTGTCCCCATATTTAACCTCAATTTCATTCTCATGCCCAACTTCATTCTTAACCCCCTCCATTGCAATCTTAATGATCACTGACTTCAATCTCATTTACATCTTCAGACAAGCTCTAACTCTGAGCTTCTCTTCTCCAGGTTCAGTGGCTCCTCCAAGGCCTCCAAAACAAGGTGAGCTGGGCCTCGGGGTATAGGAGACCCAGGGCAGGCTTTGCCTTGCTTTCAGCCTGAGAAACCTTTCCTTCCTCCTCAGGAAAGAAGACAGAAAACCCCCGACGTCCTTGCAAGCCTCTAAAAATCACAGGTGAGAATCTAGGGCTGGGATCTTCCAGTTCACCTGACTGAAGCCTGCTCTGCATGACCATTATTTTTCTGACCCCCTTCAGGCCTGGACCTCACCCCTGTAAACTGTACATCTCAACAAGGTGAGCTGTGGGAAGACTCTTTAAGAAGCCTGAGAGGGGACACCTGGAAGTCCTTCCTCCAGTTTTCCAATTCTGACCAGAGAACAGCTCAGAGGGGATGGGAGGTTGATGATCTTGGGAGAGTCTTTCAGCAACTTCTGAATAAACATTTCTCCCCCTCCCTCTCAGGCATTTCTTTGGAGCATCCTCCATGCCAGCCATCCCAAGCCAGTAAGTAAGTCTTCCAGGTGTTCTCCTATCCGCTCATGGTGACCAGTGTATTTGAGTCAGACCTATAGCTCTGGAGCGAGACCCTAGGGCAGAGAAACACTTTCAGAAGCTACTCCTTCCTGAGTCTAGACCAGACTCCCAGGGACCCAGGGTGTCTGCCTGGTACTCTTTGGGCCCCACCTCCCTCTTGCATATAAGGGAAGGGAAACATTTTCTGCCCTAGAGTCAGGGCTCACAGGCTTCCTCAGATGGGCAGGAGCTGCTTGAAGGCAGAAGTCGATGCATCACAGATGTTAAGAACATCACAGATGTTAAGTCATGCATGACCGCTTGGTCCTTATGTGCAAAATAGGAATAACACATATCTATGTCATAAGAGTGAGGATCCAATAAGATAATAAGGCTGCTACAGGATGCTCGGCACACACTAAGTGCTCCATAAATGTCCTGGGCTTCTTTAGGGTTTGCTTTCTCCAACACCCTCTTGCTGACCCCATCTGGTGATACCGTCATGACCACAGACCTCTGTCCCCCTGCTTTTGGGGAAAGGCTCAAGGGTCCCTTCCTCATACTGAAGCACCAGTATTGACCTCTCTGTCCCCATTCTCATCCCCCAGCAACTCCAGTGCCCTGGCTCAGTCAGAAGTCCTGGGGTTCTGAGTGCTACCAGAAGGAGAGACTAATGTTTTCCCTGGTGGTGGTGTCACTGCTCTTGAGCTGCACTGGTTTGGCTGTGACCCTGATCAAGTGTGAGTAGGGTGAGGATGGGGCACGCAGAGAGACTGGGGATGGAGAACAAGAAGACTTGGGCTCAAACTGGACTCCTTCTCATAGACCAGAAAGTGGTAGAAGAACTGAGGATATTAACCTTCCAGCAGGTGGCGTGGCAAGCAAATGGTGAGTGTTTTTGACCATCCCTTTGTGTCATGCACTTTGAACATCAACATGATCCTCAAACCCAACACCAAGACTGTCCCCAACCTCATCTTTGCCAGGGCCTGTGCTAGTACCTGGGTGGGTGTGTTGGTAGGTAAGATGGTGAACACATCAGACACAGTTCCTGTCCCTGTGGAGCGTGTGTGTATGTGTGTGTGTGAGTGCGTGTGCATGCACGTGTATGTGTGTGTCTAGATCTCCACTGCCCAATATGATGATTTAGTCACAGTGCCTGTTGAGCGACTGAAATGCAGTTATTCTGAATTGAAATGTGCTGTAAGTCTAAAATACACACCAATTTCAAAGCCTTGCTACAAAAAAGAATGGAAAACATCTCAATAATATTGATAATTGTATTGATTACACGTTGAAATGATAATATTTTGGATGTGTTGGAATAAATAAAAATAGCATTCAAAGTAATTTTACCTGTTTCTTTTGACTTTAAAAAATATGGCTACTAGAAACTTTAAAATTACCTATGTAGTTCACATTTTGTTTTTGTTGGAGAGCACAGGCATTAACAGTCATTTACCAAATTATCACCCCATATGAATATAAAATTTCAAATTTCAATGAATAGCCCAAAGGAAGAGGAAGATGATTTTATAAACAAGTCTAACAAGGGGTCTTGACCTTATCTTTGGGAAGATTGTAGAGGGCTCCCCCAGGGAAACGGTGCTGCAGCTGAGTGAAGGAAGAGAGAGAATTAACCAGGTGAGGCACTGAGGGACTCTGGCATGTGCAAAGGGTCTCTGTGATAGGTGGTAACATCATTTAAGTACAAGGGAGGATGATGGTGTAGTTGGACAGGTGAGAGATGATAATGGCTTGGATAAGAATTGTGGCTATGGAGATGGACAGAAGTTGGTGAAGGAGAAAGCTTTAGGAAGTAAAATTGACCAGACTGGGGGATATATTGGGAATAGTGATGAGAAGAAAGAATGTCAAGGATAACATATATGTGTTATACATCTCTATATATCATCTCTCTCTCTATCTCTTATATTTCTGTCTTCTCTAATTGAAGGGCCATCTACTGGCGACCCTAGGAAGTGATAAAGAGGGCAAGTTTGTGTGGGAGGAATGCAAATACACACATTACTTGTAGAAGAGTCTTCTGGGCTGGCATGGTCTTCACCATTGATTGTGAAGTCTGAAAATTGTATTCCATGCTCCCTCATTCCATACCTTAGATCAAGCCACTCTTCCGCTCAACAACCATCAACAACTTCTCACTGCCCAGAAACCCTTGACCTGAACAGGACATAGGCCCTCATCTTACTTTGAGCTCAAACTCCTGTGAGGTTCCCTTGACCTCTACTGCATCAGCCTTCCCCAATATATTGCCTTTGTGCCTTTGCTTCCAAGGTCCCTGCTGTGCTTGCCCCTACCCCTCACGGTTACTGAATCACGGTCTTCCTTCAACACCCACCTCTTTCAGGAAGCCCACCATCCCCACTCTTCCCCAAGCCCCAGGGGTTAATCCCTCCTCTAAGCCACTCTAGGACTCCTTCTGGACACTAAGCATGTTGTTTTTGAGTTCTAGCTCTTGCTTCTCTCTGCTGTGTCTGCAGTCAGTGATGGGTGAGCGGGTAGATGGGGGTTTGGGTCTCTAACCTTCCAGCCCTTCCTG